AGACAGATTCTTGTTAACAGTCATGTTATAATGATGAAAAACGATGGACAAGAAAGCAGTCATTAAATTAACACAACCTAAATGTACACCACTAAAGTACACACAGAAGTTATGAAGGTTCAACTTGCTTTCCTAACTCAGGAAAAASAAAGTGATACAGAACAGAAAACCTTAATAATCTATGGTGTTATAGTGACCTGCACGATGCCCTGGAAGTGCTTAAGCATACATTAACATTTTCTTTACAAGAAAGCTTTGCTCCATCATGCCATATGAATGCCTGCTTACTTTCTTCCTGATTTTTTTCAGAAAACATTAAATCTCTATACTACTTAGCACTACATGTCTTTGTCCAAAAAAAAAAAGCATTGATATTTTCCCGAAAGCCAACAGGTTTTGACTCATGAAAAATGAGAGGGAAGCATTTTTTTTATATTATAATTTTTAGGCAACATGTAGGAAGCAGTACTAGACGGGAAAGAAAGGCAAAAAGAAAATATACAGAAAGACAGGAAAAGTGTGCTTCCATAATGATCTGTCATGGTAGCCTAATATAAATCTTGTGTAAAAACAGGCATAGCTATATATAAAATTTCTTCAGARGAATACATTTGGCTTGTGGAAGAAGCATGAAGCAAAGAAGCAACTTTGGTTATGTGGACTTTCAAGCCTGAGAGCATTGTGAGTTTCCTGCAAGTGCGAAAYGTGCAGGAAGAGCAGAAGTGGATGGAGATGCATTCAAAAGCAAACAATCCTGGGTGGTAATTAAAGAAACTAGAGCTATAGWTGAGGTGAACCCCTTTGGAGAGAAAATCCTTCTCCTGCTTTGTTGAATAGATTAATGAGTTGATAGCTACTGATGGTTAACTTTTTAAAAAAGCTTCACAAGGAGCAATTGGAAAGTCAAGTTCTCTGCCTGTTTTCTGAGGTTTGAGGATGCTGTTTTTGWGAAGTCGTGACTTGAAATGATCTTTTACCAAAAATGATTATGATTTTTTAAACAAAATATTTCAACAACATGCTTTGATCATGTTCATTTCAGAACAAACTATCATTGACGTTTTCAGGAGGTGAAGTGTTGGAAATAGCCCAGCATTTCCTCGGGTATTTTTGMTTTGAAAGATGGCCACACCAAAGTGAAAGCAATATGTTTCTTACCAAGCTTCAAAAATATCCAACCAAAATGCAAAATATCATCTGATAATTCTAGGTCTTTACTTATTTGAAATGTTGATTGATTAGAATAAGAAATATCTACTCAAACAGAAAGGGTACTTCACAGAACAAAGTTAAYGACAGCAAGAGGCAATTTGCAGCATTGATATCCTTACCTAGAGCCTTTGATTAATTATTTACAGGAGAAATAGCAGAAAAATCAGCTCTTCAACCTCTTGATCAAAGGAATCACCTGAGTGGAGAAAAATTGACCGTTACTGTACACCCTACATCTTCTGAGAATAAATAGCTTTTCCTCACTTTGCCTTAYGACCTATCTGTATTTTCCATCATCTCCTACTTTCTTTCAAAGGCTAGGTAAAAATGAGTTATAATATAGTTGCATCTATTATTTCACTTCACCYTCATGTTATTTTTTTCCAAGCTAATATTGAATTAACTTCATGCTGACAAAGACATAACAGAAGAAAAAGAATTTCTCTGCCTTAACTTAATATTCAGTTACAACAAAATGATGAGAAAGAAACAGAGCTTTACAATGAAAACATTCAAAGACTTATAATAATAGTGCACAAACTTCTGCATGAAGAAAATACAACCCTTCACAGGTAATCTTGGAGCGAATCGAYGAGCATAGGGCAGAACGAGACTATCCACTGCCAGGAAGGGAAGTGCTTCTCATAGCAATGAAACAGCTGCTTAAATGGAAAATGAAAACGTAAAAAATAAATGGAGTGTAACTTTGATTAAGGATTTGTTTTTCAAAGGCATTCATCTATGTTATACAACCGGTAGACATAAGTCCCTGTAGAGCAACATGTTCATATTCTAGCTAAGATTTTAGGGAGTACATGATGTTTTGATTGGAAACTGGATATACGGAGACTCCTTCAAACAATAACTAAAATAAAGACATTGACATAAGGAATTCAGCTGCGGTTTCACATGCAGCTGAGGCAGTCTGAAGCTCGCTGACCAAAGGGGAGCAATCCCGCTCTCCTCTCCCCAGCTTTCACCGCTCCTGCTCCCAGATGCCCTGATGGCCTTCAGCTCTTTCCACGCACTGTCAGGGCTCACTAGAAAGCAGAAAGCATACAGGTTTTTGCCTTTCCCTCTCTTTTTTTTTTTAATTCTTTTTTGAAGGGTTTTTTGGTTTGTTTGTTTGTTTTTTGCCATTTTCTTTAGTTAAATCAGCTCACAGAAAGGTCTGACAAGTACGAGAGCCAAGACAAGCCTTGGGAGTACGTGGCTTGGAGGAGAAGTTTGTGAGAGGCTCCCTGCGCTTACTCTGTAGACTAATACTGAGCTCTCCCTCGTGAAGCTAATGGAAAGAGTCTCACCAAGTCCAATGGATATTCGATTAGCTCCATTTAAAAGGAGATTTAAAGAGGGGAGGAATGATTTTAAAAGGGGATTTAAAGAGGGGAGACAGACTGATATGTGGAGCATCTTTGTTCTTCATGTGCTAGCACACTTCTATATATGTAAATGTATCTGACAGCCAGTCATCTCTTCTTGCTACATTATATCACAGAATCACAGAATATTCAAGGTTGGAAGGGACCTCTAGAGATCATCTAGTCCAACCTTCCTGCTCAAGCAGACACACCCAGAGCACGGGGCACAGGGCGGCATCCAGGCGGGTTTTGAAGACCTCCAGAGTAGGAGACTCCACAACCTCCCTGGGCAGCCTGTTCCACTGCTCTGTCACCCCTCATATGTCTTGGTTAGGCAGCAATACAGTTTATACAAAATTTGTTGTAAGCAATGGCATAACAAGTCACAACAAGTCTCACAACCTTCTCTTGCCCACAAAGGTTTTTTGTTTGTTTTTTAAACTAGAACAGCAAATTTATGAGTCACTTGGCTTACTCTCTCGTCATCTGAATAGCCAGGTGAGGACTTCTCAATACAGTAGGATTTTGGCAGCTTTAATTTAGGCCAGACCAGTCCAGCTGAAACCAGAGYCCATCCTTCATTTCATGGAGAATTTCAAACTACAAAAGGTTAATTATGGACAGCAGAAAGGTGAGAATGAACAGCAGTGGCACCCGTCAAACTGTAAGCTGTACTAGATTTATAAACAAGTCCTGTATTCAATTAATGTTCTTGCCTTTGCCACACAAAACAGGTTTGCTCAAAAGCAGAAAAGGACTGAGTAATAGAAACCTGCACACTGCAAAGCACTGTGCAGATTTTTTTCACATTGAACCAAGGGCCTAATTAGTTACATTAGTGTAGAACTAATAGCATATTTATCTATTATATTTTTTTCTTAAATGCTTTAAATAAAGCCTACAAGTTTGATATGACAGTGTGCTAAAGAAAGTGAGAAATGCTTTTCCCACTTTTGAGAAATCTTGGTTTAATTATGCTGTTCATTTTTCTGTCTAGATGCTAAGCTGGAAATATTTTCTCTCTGTTAGAATAAAAAGATATCAGAAGTATTCATTTTTCTGTTTTCGAAAGGAACAAATCCTTTCTAACCATGAATTCTGTAACATTAAAGTAGCAGTGAATAAACTTCAATAGGATATTCCACAGTTAACTGTAAAGCCGAGACTATTTAACAAGATAAAAATACATCCATTAGTTTAAAAAATATTCATGGGACTAGGACAAGTCTGAGATAATGCTACCAAAATAGCAGTGTACATGAATTATACCAGTTATTACATAATAGAYACCCAAATGTGCCAGGCCTCTTTTGCTTATTTGGTTTTGTATACTTATGCCACTTATGCCATAAATAACAAAAACATGTTCCATTCCTGAGTGCTCTTTCTAAGTTTTGTATGAAAAAAATCTATTAATAAGAAAACATCTGCCTACGAAAACCTTTTTGCCCCAGTCTTCACAGCAACTTGTAGTAAGGGAGGCAAAAATCCAATAACAAATACATGGGACTTTACTAATCACAGTAGCTGAATGTGATAATTAAGAGTTTCAGTAATAAGTTAGTATTATTAGAGTAAAAAAAAAAAAAAAAAAACAGTTATATATCATGCAACATTTGACAAACATTAAGGTAAACTTTGCTTTCCCTGGCGAGCCTCTCTTTACATATGGCCACCAAAAATCAAGGAACGGTTGGGTGTTTCATACACAGATACAGTCTAGTTAAGCCAGGAATCCAGCTTACATATCAAGCCTCATTTGATTATTTGACAACCCAAGCCCTATTTTTAAAACACCTTGCTGTATTATCTGTGTAAATCTGAAGGGCAAGCAGCAAGCGCGACTCCTGCTTCAGACAAAACCTTACAGATGAATAAACCAAAAAACCACCACATCAACCAAATGACACAAACACCAACCACAGCACTTGGGGCCAGGGAAGAGAGAGAGGTCTGGATTCAAGCCTCTAATTTAGGTGTCTTTAGGTGTCTTAACAAATGTAAATTAATGACTTAAAGCACATAAGCCCTCCTTAATCCATCAGACTGCAACCAAAAACAGTTCCCACACACCTCCACTCCGTATTTCCTAGCTGCATGACCAAGTCTGTAGGTACCAAGTCATACTTGCAACCTTCCCCCTCCCTGGCCTCTCAGTGCAATTTGGTTTATTTTCTGCAGTGTGGCACAGCTTCATCAGAAGGGGGCTGTGAGTCACCCTCCCCACTCCGCAATCCCCCTAGAGATTACAGCACTCTGCCTCAAGGCGCATGGGAGCTTTGATTTCCTTTGCAAAATCCCCAAACTTCTGCGAATGTGCAACGTGACAGACATCCTCAAAAACACCTACCAGACTGAGTGCTGCAGGGAAAAATACCTTGGGTGGACATGACACGGGACAAGGCAACAAGAGGTGCTAAAGCACTCACTGGAGGTTTGGGGGATGAAAGAGCTTCTCCTCGCTCTGTGCTGAAGCATCGCCCGAATCAGAAGCTGGAGTCCTGTGGCTTCAGACTTAACCACTGAGYTTATGTCCTGGGCCTTCAAAATATAAATAAACAAATAAATAAAATAAAATAAAATCTTTGGAACACAAATGTAGATACATTTTTTTAATCAAGATACAAATTTTCCCCTAAAAGCAGACACTTTTTTTTCCCCTTTATTATCTGAACCTGAAATATGCGGGGCATTTGTTTAGGATCTGCAAAAATCTGTTTCTTATAAGCTGTCTGGCATTCTGCATTTATTAGCTACAACAGTCACAGAGGAAACACTGCACTATCGCAGAGAATCATTATATATATTATTTCAACTTTATCACACACAATGATTACAACTAAGATAATCAGAGGCTAATTTGAGAGGAAACAAAAAGAAAGTGGAAGCAGAGCTAGAAGTTAATTGGTATGTGCCCATATTTAAATGAGGAACTCAAGGAGGCRGATTTCTAGAGAATTCTGATTGTTTGAATGTCAAAAAAAACAGGTTGCAGAAAAATACAGAAACAGGAGGAGAGGAAGCACAGTGTGGGAAAGCACATGCTGGACTTGTATGCCAGAGGTGCATAAAAGCATTTTTCTGATAGGAAAAAGGTCTGTATACCACGTGTTTTTGCCTGTTTGCCAGTGTGGCTAGTAGGCACTTGTCAGGTGTAGCAAACATTGCATTTCCATTGTAATTCTAAAGWAGCTGCTGGCTTCTGTCTCCCTCCGCTGACAGCACTCCAAAGGGTTTGGGTGCACAGGAACACTGGTGCCCCTGGCTGGGGTTGATGCTGCTGCCTGTGCGGCTGCCTGTGCTCGCAGAGCCTCCCATAGGAGCATCCCTCGTGACACGGCCGCCTCAGCCACGCTCCTCATCCGTGAGCAGAACTCTCCGAAAGCCGCGATTTTCTTGTTTCCCTTCTTCCGAGAGGACTTCAGCAGTTCTGTCGGATAAAGTTCAACAATGCAGAAACTAGTGATTCATTTTTTTTTCCACATCCAAACCCCAAGAATGTCACTTCTGTAAGTGAGAATCTTCCCATGCATGTCTGCTGTCTACTGCTGTCGCTTCATTTTGCTGTTTGACACGCATAAAGACAAAAAGAGGGAGGGCAAGATGTGAAACACAAGTGCTAGACACACTAACATTTGGCAAACGCCCCATTACTGTTTTCCTGCTTCCTGTTTAATAGGCCCTTAGGGATGTTTATTGCTGATCTGTGCTAGAAAATTACTCATACAATTGAAACGTCAGTGTAAAATTGTTAGCCCAGGATAACTTTTTCTTTGGGAATTTCTGGATGCAATTATCCCTTGCGACTAATAAAAACAATGGTTTAATTACAAATATATGGTTAGAAATGTCAGCTTATGTTTAAATATAAAACATCAATTGTCTCAATATCTCAGATCAAACGGACTATCCTTCCCAGGAGCAGTCAAGGGAATTCTAGGAACAGAAATAGAGTAGCAATGATCTTGTCATTTACTTCTTGAGAAAGCAGAAATTTCCTGCTTTGTCTCTGCCTCTAGCATCAGTTCAACCCCCACTGCATCCCTTTCCATCAGGTCCACCCGCGTGCCAGCTCTGCTCCCTTTCCGGGGGCTGCCTGCAGCTTCTGGCCATGCCACATGGCCTGCTTTGCCTTCACAGCCCCACGCCTCTCTCCAGGCACTGAGGCACAACTCAACCATTTTCCAAAGGGAAGTGTTAAGAGACCTCACAATTTTTTCCATCACCATAGGCCTGGCACAGCAGAAATAGGCAGAATATCCATCACAGACCTCATCCTTTTTATCCCAGTGGTTCRTTCCCCACAAAGTCCTCTCCATTTCCAGTGGAGGATGGCGAATGCCCTCTGCTTTCTGCAACAGCCCTGATTCTTCTCCTCCAGAGGAGGAACCAGCAGCCTAAGAAATTCCCTCTTTCCAAGCCAAGGCTAAAATTTCCATGAGACTACTAATCTCTCCGGATGCTAAATGTCACCTCAGACCCGGCCAACCCTATTTTGRTATTCACAAGAGAACTAGGAGAGCTCATAAGCGTTAGCATTGCACATTTGCAGAGCAAGTGTCTCAGACTTGGTCTGCTCTCACAGCCCCAAGATACACGGGGGAGTCCTGATTTCATCTGACCCTCAAGTCAGCCTTAAGCCCACTCACAGCCTGAGCACTGGGCCTCCACTAGCACTGAGGATATCAGCCTGGCAGCACCTCTGTCCCTGCCTCCAGCCCTATCCCCCCCTTCCTCCTCTGCCTGAGGAAGAGAGGAGCTATTGCATGATTAAGGGAGATGGTCATCTCTATCCAAGAGCAGAGTGTTCCCTGTGTTTCTAGTGGCTAGTGCTGGTGAAGAACAGTTCAGCAAAATTACCATGTAAGGGTTTGGCTGGTGCATTTTTTGTTTTACATTTTTTTTGATTAAATCCACTTTATGCTTTTATACACACACACACACACACACAAATAATCCACAAACACAGAGGTATAAAGACAAGAAGGAAGATGAGAGATAACATTAAATTTAGATCCCTTAAAAAAATCCAAAATTACTTCTTTCTAGATACTTGTGTTAAATTAAGACAAAAAAAAAACCTATTTTACAGTTCCACTTTCTGAGATATAAAAGCTGTTGGCAAAGCACAGTTAAGACTTCATAGTTTTTGAACCTGGTACAACTGAACAACTCCACTATAGACCAACCATAAGGTATTAATAATTTCTTTTCAAAATAATTTTAAACAACTAGAGCTCAAACAATCCCAGGAAGTGGCCTAAAAATGGAAAGGTTGGACAGTCAGCCTTGAGCACTAATCATGAGAATCCTTAGCTCATAAAGGGAACAAACCATGTCCTTCTGTCCCAATCAACATGAAAGAGGAGTCAGTATGAATAACATAACGTAGCCCACTGAAATGGAATAAATTCCCACATTATGTCATCAGTATGCTCATTTTTAATTAATTTGGAGAGTTTAAATGGAATCCACTAATATTAAGAAGAAAAAAAGAAATCAAACAAACTGAGACTGAAATAAAAAAAAAAAATCTGCTTTAAATTCCTTCCAGTCTGTGAAAGCACTGAAGTCTACATCTGAAGTGCAAGGATCTCCCTTCATTATAACAGGCCAAGACAAAACTTGACTACATGTGAACCAGAGAAAAACTTGGATCCAGATCCTCATGCCCATTTACAAATGGTTTCTACTTTTAGATAAAAAACTAATTCTATCTTTAAAAAAGAAGGCAGTCTCCTACATCTGAATACCTTAGAACTACAGGAAGTCCTGATCCAGCCTGAAGCCTTGCAGCTGATGCTTTTATTTAAATTATCATGCAGTGAATTCCCTTTTGGTTTTGAATCATTTACTCCAAATAAAGATTAACTGTACTAAAGTTGAAATCAACATATTACAATGTATTGAAACAATTTTGGCCTTTCATTACTCTTCAGACAGCGTTACTGCAAGCGTTGGCACTAACATCAGCATCAGCAGAATGCACATTTAGCTATGTATTCTAAATTAAATATGTATGAGAGCTTGAGAACCACAATGACAATTACTGCACCTTGGAATGAGACTTGGAATATTTTGTCTGGCAGAGTTCAAATAGCTTTTCAGCTGACAACAGCTGCAGCTTGGTTAGCACAAGAACGGACTGATTGCAGTTTATAATTTAGGATATGGATTAATGCAATAATCAAGGCAAACTGGGTGTGCAGAGCTCAACACATCCAGTGGAGCTCTGGAAGTATTTTGCTTTTGGGGAAGAATCATGACATCAGAATGCATTTGCTTTCTGYGAGGCCAAGGTTGGCACACAGGCTGCGAGTCTCAGACTCCTTTCACCCTCAGCAAAAGAAGGCTGGAGCCTTCTTCATGACAATGCTGGTGCCCAAGCTCGAGGTCTGCAGTTTGACTTGCAAAGGACAGAGACTGCAAGATTCACTGGCTGTATCAGGAACAGCCTTAAAAATTATCCTCTGAAGAGGCTCCCATGTTCAGATTTGATGTCCTTGTGGACAGACATCAACCAGGACTCAAGCACAGACCAGAGGGTCTGCTACATGGGTTACCACAGGTGACAAAACATCCACCAACTTTGTACAGTACAAATAAACACTTAGGTGACTTAATGGGCCATCAAAACACGCAGGCTGAGACAAATGACTGTAAAGAAAGCAGGCAGGCTGTGGGATTCACAGCTTTCTCTCAAAGGCTGAATAGACATAACCTATCACAACATCCCCTAGACAAGATACCGCTTATCAGGAAGATGCCAGCCAGATTTTGATATTTAGTTATTTTGCACCTGGTTTCTTATTGCTCTGATATTATTCAAAAACTGAACAGTACCTGCGGTTATCTGACTTAGAGACACAAAAGATCTGATGCTAAATTGCTCTCCTAGCTAGGAATCTTCTTATTCTTCAAGTGCCTTTGTTTCAAAGCCTTTCAGGAAAGAAAAAAAAAAAAAAAAAGATTTTCTTGGACAAAAGACGACCTTGTATAAAAAGGCTGCTGCAGGAAAGTCCATGAATAACACTCTTTTGCTTTGCAAATTTGTACTGCTGTGTTAGGTTTTTTACTCACAGAAAACATTCTCTCTTCCAGTGTGGTGAAATGCTGTAATACATGAAACATTGAGTTAAGATTTGGAGTAAAYAGTACGCTACTCAAGAGGAACTTGAGAAGGAAGTTCCTCTTGTTTCTTGAGAAATTTGTTTCTCAAGAAACAAGTGAGAAGGAAGAACTTGCAAGAAATGCAGACAGCTAGTAACCAAGTTTGAAGTAAATGATGGAGCATGGCATAAGTTACCATCATCTTCCCAGGAGATAACTGTTAATAAGAATAATTAGAAATTATCTGGAGATAAGCTTTGGCCACGTGAACCCACTTCCCAYTGATCTCCTGGGAGATTCCAGTCTGCAGGACATGGAGCTCACCCTGCGCATCCACCAAAAAGAGAGTAGGAGGCAGCACAGTTAGAGGAGAACAGAGTTCATACTGCAGCAAGGAGCCCTGGTGCACATCCCAGTCATATATTCATGGCAAGATAGTTAAAGGAACCACTGCCTATTTGAAAGGATGCCTATAATTCCTATGGATTTATTCCTGCTAGAATTGTGTTAAACACTTTGAAAGCCTGATTAAAGGTCTTATACCATCCAAATTGCAATCCCTTTTAATGGCTTGACTCCTCTTTACACTAGCAGAGCTGCTGACCTTTCCCTTGGTCAGTTTTACTGCATGCATGGTGCACTTCAACGCTTCACTTGTGTCTATTAATCTCCTTTTTTTCTATCATTTTGAGACTTTCTGATGAAGTATGAGCCTAACAGGAGCACCCATTCCACTCAGAAGGGATTCCTATCTCACATGCAAATATCCAATAAAGCCTCAGTATATCCCAGAGAAATAGGAGTGTGCTTAAAGCTTGCTGTGCAGTTTCCTAGAATCATACCAGCTATTACATGGAGAATGCTGTAATTACTGCATCTTGCTGTTTCAATTTCAAGAATTTTGAAGAGCATTGCTGGAAGCAAAACAAACTCAATGATCCACTGATGAGTTCAGATGGTCATGAATCCATCTCTAGGCTAGTCAGTGTTCAAAGCTGATGTTTTCTTGAAATTCTTTTCTACATACTAGAAGTGGTTTAGTGGGAAAATAAAYTGCAAATTCTAAGCACATCCTCCCTCTC